AGATTGTTCAACCTCTGGAAAGGGAGGAGAGGGCCTCCTTTTATAGGAATCCAATTCCTAAGCTTCTCGGAGAAGCTAACATAAGGGAGCAAATCCCTCCATACACGTGTATGGAGGGGGTGTATAATATCTGCCAAAAGCAAATGGAAAGGGGTCGGCTGGAAAATATGGCCGATTGACCAACAAAAATGGTCGGCCGACCAAAAACATTGCCAACCGACCAAAATACTTGGCCGGTAGCAAGAAAACAGAGTCGGTGGCCACAAGACAAGGCCGGTGAGGTATGGAGATGGCCAACAAGTCATTCCTTGCCCTCAGAAGCAAAACACAAGTGTTTGGTGTACAACCAAGCACAAAACAAACAAGTCGAGAAGTCTTGAGGCAAGGCGCGCGACTGAAACCTCCGAGAACTCAAGACAAACACGAACATGGATGATCACCTAGTGTTCAAACGGTGTCGTCCAAGTCTTGAGGATGGTCAAAAATGGGGTGTCTACACAGAGTAGGAACTTGATGGACTCCATTACAATCAAGGGTAACACCTTTAATAAACCTGAAGAGATGAAGAAAGAAATTGCAAGATATTTTGGTGAAGTTTTGCAGAAAATTGAAAAATTAGACCCAAGATTAGAGGAGTGTTTAGGTCCATTGAACCTTCTCAAGCTGAGTTGTTGGGGAAGGAGTTTTCTGAATCAGAAGTTTAGGCGACAATAAAGGAATGTGATAGGAATAAAGCACCTGGTCTTGATAGATTTAATTTGCTTAGGATGCAAAAGGGATGGAGGATTATGAAAGCTGATATACTCAAATTCATGGCTGAGTTCCATGATAATGGAAAGTTGGTAAAGGGTTTGAATTGCTCTTTTGTAACACTAATTCCTAAGAAGCAAAATCCAACCATTATTTAGGACTATAGGCTAATTAGTCTCATAAATTCTGTGTACAAGATTCTATCAAAGATCCTGGCTAGCAAATTAAAGCTTGTGTTACCAAGCATCATTAGCTCATCCTAATCTGCATTCTTGAGTGGGAGGTATATATTAGATGGAATACTAGTAGCAAATGAAGTGGTAGACTGGTGGAAATGAACCAAGGAAAGTGGGATAGTAATAAAATTTGACTTTGAAAAGGCGCATGACACAGTAAACTGGAATTTTTTGCTTGATATGATAAGCAAATTTGGTTTTGGGACAAAATTGGTGGATTGGATAAAGACCTACTTTGTTTCAGCTAGAGTATCAATTCTTGTGAATGGGTCTTCATCTGAGGAAGTGATTTCCCAGAAAGAACTGAGGCAAGGGGATCCAATCTCACCATTTTTGTTCAACATTGCAGCTGAAGGTTTAAACATGCTTCTGTTAAGAGCAAAAGAGTTAGGATTGATAAGAGGGGCTGCTATTGGGGCTGGAGGTGTGAATGTATCTCATCTACAATTCGCTAATGACACAATTTCATTTTGTGAGGCAGATTGGGTGGAGGTCACAAATGTTAAGAGAGTATTATGATGTTTTGAAGTAGTGTCTGGCCTAAAAATTAATTATCATAAGAGTGCTATCAGTGAAATGGGCTGTAAGTGGAGTGGGTATTGATAAGGCAACAGTTGCTGAGTTTGCTTCAAGACTAAATTGCACAAGTCATAAACTACCTTTCAAATACTTGGGCTTACCATTAGGGGCTAATCCTAGAAGAAAGCAATCTTGGAAACCTGTAATGGACATGCTCAAGACTAAATTAGCTGGCTAGAAGATAAGAGTGATTTCTTTTGCTGAGAGGGTGACTCTTATTAATCTGTGCTAGCTAACTTACCAATTTACTACATGTTAATATTCAGGATACCTCCTGGAATTGTAATGGAGCTTGAGAAGATACAAGCTGCTTTTTTGTGAGGAGACACTAAATTGAAGATGAAGATTCATCTAGTGAAGTGGAAGGAGGCTATAGTCAGTAAAAAGTTTGGGAGATTGGGCATAAGGGACATGAAAGCAGTAAATAAAAGCATACTTCCCAAGTGGTGATAGAGGTTTGGGTTTGAAGATGATGCACTTTGGAAAAAACTGATTTGCAGCAAGTATGGGTTTATTGGTGGAAGATGGTTTCCATTCCTTATGGTTGATAGCTCTAGCTCAAGGATATGAAGTGATATATTATCAGTAGTACAAGCAAATCCCAGACTTCTTAATTTTTTTATGGAAAATGTTGAGATTAAAATTGGAAATGGAAGTAGGATTATGTTTTAGGAGGATGCTTCGCTAGATAGATTTTGTCTTAAAGAGAAATACCCGAAGCTATTTAGTATCTCAAATGACAAAGAGGTAACATTGAAAGAGATGATGGACAAAAAAGTCAACTATGATGAGTGGTGTTTCAACTTTAGAAGGAATTTATTGGCATGGGAAAAAGAGGATCTGAGAAACACGAAGACGGAATTTGGAACAGGGCCAGCACTCTGTTTGGAGATTTTGAATCACATCATATGGAAAGCTGATAGTTTAGGATGTTTCAAGGTTAAGTCGGTATTTAACTAGTGTGAGATGAATTTTGGATCAATGAAGACTATATCTGTTTTAATATGGAATAATGCAGCATCTCCAAAGGCCCAATTCTTTGCTTGGTTGGTGCAGAAAGAGAGAATTAAGACAATTGAGTATTTGAAAAAAATTGGGGTTGTTGTTACAAATGTAAGTGTATTTTGTGCTCTGTGTAGCTCAGAGGAGGAATTACTTTATGTAATGCTTCACTGCCCTTTTGTTTAGAAAATATAGTCTAGCATCATCAAATGGTGGGGAGTTCAGTGGGTTATACTAGGTACAGTGGAAAGCTTGCTGCAATGGTGGAATGGGTGGAAGTTTAAAAAAGGGGAATTACAGATATGGAAAGCATTACCTATAACGATTTTTTGGTCTGTGTGAAAACACAGAAATGAAGTTATCTTCAATAAGGTACAACCCAATTTTGAAGTACTTTGCGAACTCATCAAGGTTAGAATGGCCATGCGGATAAAGTCTAATATGGTGGGAAGAGACTATTCAATTAATCAGTTTGCATCAAACCTACATCAAGTCAGGAAATGCATAAAGTGAGGAGCTCATGTGATGCTGCTGGTTTTGAAGGCTTTGGTCTGTTGCTAGTTTACAGTTGTGGTTATAGATTTGGTTGTTGTAATGCAGCCCCTTATTTTTGGTTGTGATTTTTGTTTGTTTCCTTTATCCCTTGTTGTGGTTGGTTTTTCTCCAACCCTTGGCGGTTGTGCTAGCAAATGATAGGGCAATATATTTGGTGCCAACCTAGTTGGGATTGAGGTTATTTTGCTTTGATGCTTTTTGCACTCCTCTTTCTTTTATTGATGTAATATCATGTGTTTGCAGACTTTTTCATCAATAAAGTTCTCTTTTTGCTGATTAAAAGAAAAATCTTCCGAAACTCTAAGATTACGGTGGCCACGAATAATGGCCAATCCAACCATGAGAGTAGAGATCTAGAGAATTCAAATTCATCAACTCCTTTCAGAATATGACTACAGTCTAGTCCACAATTAATAACATAAAAGAGAGAGAGAGAGAGAGAGAGACAGAGAGAGAGGAAAATCACGAACCTGTGCAATTAATAGGACACTGATTCGATTGGTGGGAGAAAATTAGAGAAATCGGTGATTGAGACTCTGGAATGTTCGGATCGGAGTACATATCAAATGCTGGTGATAAGACGAGGATACCTAGGGTTTCACGTTCGGTGAAGATTTGCCCGAAGATGAGGAGAAAGAGATCACCAACAGTAGAGAAGAGGGAGATTGCCAGCGATATATGTGAAGGTGGAGAAAAGAGACAGAGACAATGGAGAGAGAGAGAGAGAGAGAGAGAGAGAGAAATAATTGGCTAGGGCTTGGTTTTGGAAACAATATATATATATATATACATGGATAGTTTGGTCATTTTACAGGAGCTTGTCCTAATAGACAAAGAATTTCAAAGTGTGAACCTTTAGGTAAAAAAAATTTAAAATTAAATTTATGAATCGGGTGTCGTGTAATTAATACTTGGTTAAAGCCTAATGTGAAGTATGTCATTTGCTTTTTATTTTATTTTATTTTTTTTGTATTTTAGTTATTGATTGAGTTGTTTATAGTAAGTCTTTTTTGATTGTGATCCTGTCTACTATATATTAATAATGTTAGGTATTATGAAAGAAATATTATGAAATGTCTTCATAAAGATTCTCTACCCTTCAATTAGTTTGTAATATTTTATTATATGTTATGCAATCACTCTTAGATTAATTTTATAAAAATTTTCATATATAATATTTATTATTATTTATAATGAAAAGATTCATTATATCATTTGACAATAAGTATATTAATCTTTTTTAATTTAAAATAATTATAAATTTACATTTTCATTTCTTAACGATTAAATTTATAATAAAAATCCTACATTACATTAATAGAACGAAAATGATCAAAATCCATCATTATGATATTTTATTGAGATTCACCTAACACACCCATTTCTAAATTGGAGAAAAAACATTATGATACACCAACATCAACCTTGTCCTCCCTTGCAGAAAACCCATGAAAACTGCATACACACAAATTATTATTAGTTCCAAATGAATTTGGACTACTACAATATTATAACTTTCTTTTAAATAATGGGATGTTCATGTAAATAGAAGAAAGTTGTGAGATAAAACAAGTAGGAATAGTAGTAGTCAGAGTGAGACAGCGGTAGACGGTGGTTGTTGTGGTGGTGGAGGTGGTTGAGGTGGCGGTGCAGATCATGATTTTTGTTTCCCCAACGTCCCTTTCACTGCGACATTAATATGAGCCAATGTAGTTGCCTACTCACCTTGCACTTTATTCTCTTTTTTTTTTTTTTCTTTTTTTCTTTTTTTCCTTCTAATTTTTCATTTTATTTTTCGATTTTTTTTTTTTTTAATATCCTTTTCTCATTCATATTCTATTATCATCAACAAGCTCGCCAACCATTCTCTCTCTCTCTCTCTCTCTCTCTCCTCTATTTGAGTTTGACCCGTTGCCACCTACCGGCAGCTCTTTCCTCTCCTCTTCCACTGGAGACCCCACCATCTAGCCTGCAATCTCTCTAGAAGACGATCTGTAAACGTAACTTGAGACTTTCTCTCTTTTAGACCCTCTTTCAGACAAAGCTTAAATAACCTCTTCTCTTCTCATTTCTCTTTTTTCCATCTCCTAAAACCCACAATTCACACAGCAACTGAGGAGAACAAACCTCTCTCTCTCTCTCTCTCTTCGTATATAAAACTTTCTCTCTCTGTCTGTTTCTATTCTGCAGTGAAGATCGGTGAGTATAGTGTATCTATACATACACGCTCAGTCTGGTTCTTTTTCTATAGAAACTTTTTGTACAAGAGAAAGACAAGGAAAAGATTAAAAAAGGCCATTGTTGATCAGAGCTTTTACAATATCTATGGGTACTTTTTGAAAGCTGTTTTGGAAGATTTCTTTCTCTCTCTCAATTTACTTTATGGGTTGGGTTCTTCTTCAGTTCTTCTTCTTCTGTGGTGGTGATATATCATAATCTGTGCTCTCTCTCAGATTCTCTTCTTTTTTTGGAACTACAACCATCTCTCAGCAGGTTTGGCCTTTTTTTTTTTATTTTTATATTTAATATTTCATCTTTCATTTCACTTGTTTGGTAGCAAATGGATTCTGGAAACAGTGGGAGTATGCAATCTTCAAGTGGTGGAGATGAAGAGTATGATTCACGGACCGAGTCAATCTCTCCTTTCTTGAACCACAGTTTTGGCTCCATCTCCAACCACCCACAGCCGCCTCCTTCACAACCACCACCACCTCTCTTCCACCACCAACAATCCACTTTGTTTGACTCTCAAGCACACAATCTCGGACCTTTTTCACATTCATCTCCAAACCCAAACCCAAACCCAAACAATCTCTACAACAATAATCTCGATTTCGTGTGGCCCAGATCAGGACTAAGATCTGAATCCAATTACGCCGAACTTGGAAATCTCTTATCATCATCTTCATCATCATCACTATCATCATCAAGCCAATCTCTGTTAGGCCTTCATCAAGGCCCCACAACTCAGGTCCAATTTCCAAGCTCATCATCATCCATGCCATTACCATCATCACTTGATCATCATGGTAATGGTGGTGGTGGTGGAGGAAGAGGAGGAGGAGGAATAGGAGTAGCTACAACAACACCAAGGTCTGATCAAACAAACCAAGGCATCAAAAGCTCAAGGAAGCGAACCAGAGCTTCACGCCGAGCACCCACCACCGTCCTCACCACCGACACATCGAATTTCCGGCAAATGGTTCAAGAGTTCACCGGAATCCCAGCTCCACCGTTCTCCGCCACCTCCCCGTATTCTCGCCGGTTCGATCTCTTCGGCGGCGGAGGTGGCTCCGCCATGAGCCTTTACCCTTTCCGACCTTCAGCCCAAAAGGTTGTTCCACAATCACCTTTTGTGCCCTCTTCTTCTTCATCACCATCGTTTTTGAACTCTACCATGAATATTGATCCAACTAGTAATCTTGCTAATAGTACTGCTAACAATAACATTACATCTTCCATTGCTGGTCCTTCAAGTAGCTACCAACAACAACAACAACTACCTCAGCAGGGTCAGAATCAAACTATGCTGAACATGCAAAACCCAATTCTCACATTCCAATCTCTCCTTCAATCTCCGGCTTTCGGGTCCAAATCCGAAGCAAGATCGGCGATTCCTTCTCTTGATGAATTGGGTATGAGTCATCATGAACATGTGAGTGCAAATCTTGGTGGGTTTCAAAGCCATGGAAGCAACAACAATCATCTCTCTAGATGGAGAGGTGAAGAGGCATCTACTGACGTGGGTCATCAAGAACACTTGGGCTCTTTCGATGGCAACGATGGCGGTGGCGGTGGCGGTGACTCTCAAAATGTTAGTAACTACAAGCTGAACTGCTTGGCTCCTTCATCGGATTTTCACCCTGAGACCTGAGAAGGATTTGGAAAATGTTTTCGTGTTTTGAAATTTTATCATGCGATTGAGAGTGCATTGCTGATAGAGGCAAACACGACACGACAGGACACGAGATTCATAATGAGGAAAGATGGAGCATGGAAGAGAACTTTGAGGCAACAATGAGGAGGATTATGGTGGTGAGGATTGATCAGAGGATAGAAGTATGGTCTTGATTAATAAACCCGAATTGTCACTTTTCAGTTAAGATTCGGCATGTTATTATTGTTATGTTACTTGTAAATATATAGAATATTTTCTTTTTTTTGTAATCTTTGATTAAACATATCCATATATAGAAGGATTACAGAATTTTGATTCTACACTACGGTTTTTTTTTTTTTTTTTTTTTTTTTTTTACACTACGGTTTTTTTTTTTTTTTTTCTTTTGTTGGTATAAGTATATTATTTTTGGTCGTATTCTTGGTGGCCTTACATGGTTTAGGCTATTGTTTCGTGATGATTCTCTCATTCTTATGTAACTTTTATTACTAATAACCATGTTCTTGTCTCTTGTTTAAGTAACCTGGCTAAATTGACGTTTATTTCTGCAAAAATGGTATAATTTATTTAATTTTTTCAGCTTTGTATATCATGTTGATCGTTACAATTGGGTCTTTATTTAAAAAAATCAAGTATAGTAACGTCTTACTTTTCAAACGGTCATATATATTATACTCCATACAAAAATAATATGTAGGAGTACTTTTTTTTATTTTTTTTTACAATAGAAGTGTAACAAACATTTTTGAATTTATTTAGCAGTGTGGTGTGCTGGCATCCATTTTCACATAAAACAGAATTATGAGGGTAAACAAAGATAAGTAGGATTATCCTGAATTCTCATGTTTTTATTCTGGAAGACACTAATGGTGTGTTTGGTTGGAGGATTTGGAGAGGGATTTGGAAAGGGAAAGGGAAAAGATGTGTGAAACGAGGTGAAATTTAGGCATGTTTTATTCATATTTCACCTACCTTTTCCATTTCCCTTTCCAAATCCCTCCTCAAATCCCTCAACCAAACACAACATAAATATTTTGATAGAGAGAAGCATAGTAGCAAAAAGCACAACATATGGAGATATACAAACAAGCTAAGCAACTTGTTGTAAACTTGGGCATAGCATTTGTCAAGATTATGATTTAGAGGAAGAAGTCAAAAAACATTTTAGTTTTCTTTACTCAAAACAAAAACAAATATAACAAACTTGGTTCACAATGGTATCTCAGTCTATTAAAGAAATTTGAAACTATTATAGAAAGAACAGAAATATTTTCAAGTTGTATTGTCCAAAAACATAGAAAAGTCAAACAATATGCTTGAGGCATCCTATTTCTATGAGCTTGATCCCACCTGATGCTAACTATACAAGAAAACTCCCTTCTTTTCCTTTTTTTTTTTTTAGGTACTTCTTATAACAGAAATTCGGTTTAAAGGTCATTGTTTATATTTATCAATTATAAAAGTTAAAAATTTTATTATGCATTCAATGAGTAATAAATAATTTTAGTGGCTTTATTATACAAATATGATAAAGCTTGTGCTCTACACAAGCCAATTATTCCGTGTGAAAAATTACAAAACCATTGATACACATGTTATGTAATACACATACGAAGATAAAATTACAAGTTAGTGGAGTTTTCGAAAACTAATTACATATTTATAAATAAATAAAACTATACTTTCATTTTTTAATATTTGTAAATTTTACTATCGATTTGAAAATATTTTTTTAGACATACACTAAAATGAAATTACTCCTCAGGAGAAAGGTGTCTGGTGCTTCAGAATCAGAGCCCCATGCCAAATTTTTGTGGAGTTTGTGAAGTGCTTTATATAATTAATTGAACTATGGATGAGGGAGCCCACAAGAGAAGCAACTTGGAAATTAGTGAATGTATTTTTTGGTATTAATGGGGAAAGCCAATAACCTGTTCAAAGTCAATCTTACTTCTTTAACATTTATAGATTGATAGTTTGTCCCTTTAAAAAAATATACATCAAAAAATTTAGACTCAAATATCACACCCATTAAAAAATCTTTTAATGCCAATTCTGGTTCAAAATCTTGTTTAATCAACCTTGGTTTGAAGGAATGATTAACCATTAGATGATGAAGAATTCATATCAAAAGGCAGGTATAATTATCGCTCTCATAAAATTAAAAAGAATAATAATCATGATAAAATTTGAAGAAAAAAACAAAAAGAAAAAAGGGGGGTTGGGGGGGAGATGATTATATATGGGATTTGGAGAGATTTTGAAGGAGCTTTATGAGAGTGTATGTAGTGACATGTGACACTCTCTTTGGAATCATGGTGGCCCCTTTGCCAGAGAATAAGCTGGTTTTTAGCAATGATGGTTGTTTTGCGCTCTCTCTCTCTCTCTCTCTCTCTCTCTCTCCATCCATCCATCCATCTTTCTAGATCTCACTCAGTTTTCAGCTCATTCCTCCTCAGGGTCATGTGAGAGAGACTGACCCCTCTCAAAGTTTAGCAACTGAAAAAGGCAAATAGTTAAGTCTCTCTCTCTCCCTCTCTCATGTTGGGCCAATCCCTGTAAGTAGCTGCTTGCTCAAACAAAAACAATTTTCTTCCTTGATTTTTATTTTATTTTTGAAAAATGTCTTGTAACTTGAAAATGGAGAAGCTCGAATAGCTCGAATGGATATTTACCAAACGACTAGCCGAACGATTACTCAGACGACCGGATGAAACATTTGTCTATTGTAGTTGTCACCTTGTCGACCGCGACTGTCAACCTTCTTTTTGAATAACTGGCCGGATGGCCAACTGAATGACCGACAAGATGAATTTCGAGTCATTCAGTCTAAACTCAAATTCGAGTTACGCAGTAGTATTGTTTATTTTTTAACAATTTCTTCAATTATTTTTATAAAGAGAATTATATTATACACGTCTCATATTATATCTATTTTTAATTATAATTTTTTTTAATTATGATTATTTTTTCTTTAGTTATGACTTTTTGTTTTTGGTTATGATTTTTTTTAGTTATGACTCAAAAAAGTATGAAATTATGTACTTTTCTTCTTTAATTATAAAGTACATATAGTACATACCATTGTGTACCATAGTCTTTCCCTTTTTATAATTACCCATCTCCTTAATTATTATTTTATTGAAATTTATCTATTTATATCTATCTATCTTTAAGGGTGTAAAAATGGCTCGGGCTAGTTCGCTGTTGGACTCAACAGGCTCTCACCAAAAATCAGGTTCGGTCAAGCTGGCCTACTCGTGCAAAATCGCAGCCCAGGCTTAGGGGGTACTCGGGCCTCAAGCGAGGCCACCTTGCCTGGGCCTGGACTCGGGCAGGACCTGACCATTTTTTATTTTTTTCACCAACATTTTATTTTTCCCCTATAAAAATAGCTTTGGAAATGATAGTGGGCCTCAGGTGAGCCAGGTGGACTGGTCCTCGGGTCAGGTCATAGGTCGGATTGAGCCCTAAAACACATGGCCTATGCCCAAGGCTCGGCCCAAGCCCAAGGTCATGGGCTGGGCTGGCACTGAGCTCGGGCTCGAGCCTAGGCAAGCCAGACCACTTCGAACCATGGCGGGTTTTGAGTGGATTGTGGGCTGGTGGACCGATTTTACAACCCTATCTATCTATCTATCTATTTATATACTATTATTAAGTGAAGGCTAAACTTAGGCCTCTTTTGGGAAGTGACTTATAAGTTAGTTTATTGATTTTCTGACTTATTTGAGTCATATCATTTCTTTATTTTTTGCACGTTTTTTCGTAATAAATAATAATTAAAAAATTAGCTTATTTGCTTCTTCTTATGTCGTGTGTTGCTTATTTTTTATGAAAAAAATTAGATAAATAGGAGAGGCGAAACTTCAACTTTAGATTTGTTAAAAATACTCTCATCACTTGACTAACACACAATATATATTAAATATTTTATTTTATTTTTACTTAGTTTATTTTCAATGTGACTTAAAGTAATGGTCTAAATAAATAAATAAATAAATAAAAGCAATCAAGAGTGTAAGTAATGCTTACAAAAATGATTTTATTGAGGATATAGGTGGGTGAAAAAAATAGTGAGAAGGGATCCATTTAAAATAGTAAATCTTATTATATTAACTAACGAGAGTAAAATATTTTGTTTACCCACTAATTAATTATGCGATTGAACAAAATGGGTCTTGTTAAAAAAAAAGGGTCTTAATACCCCATAAAAATATATGTGTTGCCATCCATGACCTCCCCAAAGAAAGCATATATCATCGCAAGCCAGACCACTTCGAACCATGGCGGGTTTTGAGTGGATTGTGGGCTGGTGGACCGATTTTACAACCCTATCTATCTATCTATCTATCTATCTATCTATTTATATACTATTATTAAGTGAAGGCTAAACTTAGGCCTCTTTTGGAAAGTGACTTATAAGTTAGTTTATTGATTTTCTGACTTATTTGAGTCATATCATCTCTTTATTTTTTGCACGTTTTTTCGTAATAAATAATAATAAAAAAATTAGCTTATTTGCTTCTTCTTATGTCGTGTGTTGCTTATTTTTTATGAAAAAAATTAGATAAATAGGAGAGGCGAAACTTCAACTTTAGATTTGTTAAAAATACTCTCATCACTTGACTAACACACAATATATATTAAATATTTTATTTTATTTTTACTTAGTTTATTTTCAATGTGACTTAAAGTAATGGTCTAAATAAATAAATAAAAGCAATCAAGAGTGTAAGTAATGCTTACAAAAATGATTTTATTGAGGATATAGGTGGGTGAAAAAAATAGTGAGAAGGGATCCATTTAAAATAGTAAATCTTATTATATTAACTAACGAGAGTAAAATATTTTGTTTACCCACTAATTAATTATGCGATTGAACAAAATGGGTCTTGTTAAAAAAAAAGGGTCTTAATACCCCATAAAAATATATGTGTTGCCATCCATGACCTCCCCAAAGAAAGCATATATCATCAAAGTCTAACAAAACAACCATAGACCCTACAAATATTAAGACACTGTCTTAACAATTTGGCAAATTCTTTTTTAACTATTAAAAAGGAAAAAGTGGTCTAAAGACAAAAACAAAACAAAACAAAACAAAAGAGAAGAAGAAGAGAAGTTAGTTTTTTTTTTTTTTTTTTTTTTTTTTAAACCTTTTTGTTTATTTTCAATTTTTTTTTTTTTTTTTAGATCCATATAAACTGGAAAGACCTGAAAACTAAAGAAAAAAATCAACACAAATTTTAAAAAATTTCATTAAAGACAAATATATATATATATATATATGACTTTTTTAGCCTTGGTCAAACAAATG